TGCACAGAAATTTGTGTTTATTTCGTTTGGCTCGCATTTTCTACTCGCGTGGGACACCAGAGTTCCAAAGGTGACCACGAGCGAGTCTCGAGGTCGAACTGACGTGTCGAGCGAGCATTCTGAATGCGTTATGCGTTGTTCGTTGGTTGTTTCCGGTTTGCGAGAAGAAGGGATACGCCGCAAAAATCGCGTCTTTTTCGTCCATCATGTTTTTTCATCCTTGAACATTTAGCCTTCTTTCGTTGAAAATAATCTCTCCATTCGTGTCGTTCCTTTTCTCACGGGATAAACGTAGATTCGAAACTTTAGCCATTTGTCCCATTAATTCGAGTAAAAGCTGGCAACGTTACCGTCCAATTTTCCTAGTATTATACTCTGATATACGCGTACACACATCCGTACCGCAACATTTTATGACCGTTAAAGGTAGAAAGGTCTGTTGGAATTTTACGTTGTACATTTTTTTTTTTTCTTTCAGCCACTTTGCTTTCAATCGCGAATATTTCTCGAGATTGTCGCGCTATCGCGTGCTTTCGGAATATAGACTTCTTTATTGCTTCGAAGAAAAAAGAAAAGAATAAAAAAATAAATACTCGATGCAGCTGCGCGTACAAAAGCGTCGATAAATGGTAGTTTCGTTGCTTGTGGGGTTGATATATCTGTGTCTGTGTCGATACGGGACTTTTATTCTTTTCAAGCGTCTCAAGGTGACTAGGATTCAGCCAGACTGTTACGAATATTTTGAAAACCGACAGCGAAAACATAAAACCAAAGTCGTATAAGCGGCGTGTGAACGCTGTACGTTTTACCTATTCTCGTCTTCGTCATTTATGGAGAAGTGACGTAACGCTGCATCGCGTGCCAACCATGTCTATTCCTCGAAACGTTGTTCGACATTTTTGACATTGATTTTTCAATATTGAACAAAAATTGAAATTGAAGTCCTCGAAATTTGAAGGTTGCGAGCGTTTACCGTTTGTTCGTCGGAGAGTTCTTGAACGGGTCGAGCAATAAGTTTAACGTGCTCGGTTATTGCCATAAGTAGATTAATTCGAGGACGACCTTATCGAGCATGTGAAAGAACTCGAATTCGTTTTATCGTGCAGACAATACAATCGCGAGTAGAGGACGAACGCGAATGGACGGAAAAGCGGTTAAGATCTCGGATGACCCTGGACGCGAGTGCCTAAAATGGTTCTTACTCCATATTCTTATTAATTCACGAACGCGTGGTATTTAAACGTTTGCGAGTCAGGTTTAAGTAAAGCGCAATCTCTCGGATGATCCTGTTTGATTTCTTGCAATATTCGTGTCGAGCAAACAATTTCAAATGTTTGGCGAAGCTTGCACACGCTCCGACGGATTATGCGCGCGGAATTATGTAACGCGTACAGCACAACGTGATGAATGTCCACTGGCTAATTCCATTAAGATACAGATCCAAGGTTCTGGAAATACCGGTAAAAAGGAGCCGACACGTCGAGCCTCGTATCGACTATACAACCCTGATCTGCTTTGTCCCCAACAAACATTTCGTATCAAAGCCATCTATTAATGTTTCGGGACCTCTTCGGAATTTAGAATCAAACGTACGTAGCGACTTGGACGTTATTATCGCTCGCTGGAATTTATCGCGCAAACGCGTTAGTTTCAATTGATTATGCACGAATGCGCGCCGAGTTGCAAGCTTAATGGACGAAACGCTGCCAATGAGCGAATATCACCGCTCGCAGTTGCCGCGCATTGGTCATGCCGTCTTCTGGGGAACGATAAATAATCGTTGCATACATGCATAACACGGTCGGTCGCGCACAATTCCCAGAAGTGTCCCGTACTGTTCATTCATACTTTCTTCCGTTGTCGAGGGTTTATTCCAAAGCGGAGGTTATCGCATTGCTGGAATTAATTACAATCGTTTTCTGAATCTTGAAACGTTCATTCGCTACCAGGCGAATGTATAACGATGAAAATTCTTAACAGTCAAAGATTCAACGTAAGATCGTTTCGCGTTGCAACGGAGAATCACTGTTTTCCTTCGGAATCACGCGTCCAAATCGAGGAAAACAAACAAACACCGTCTTTTCGGCCGCTAGATTGCAAACGTATTTTTGCAAGCAGCGTGAAGTAACGGTGCGAAAAGGTTCGACACGATTTTACGATATTATACAACGAAGACGGTTCGCGTCGTATTATTCGCACGATAAATAGCCCGTTACCGTTAGCGTGGATCGCGGGCGCGATCATCAAATTATATCAGCCCTGAAATATTCACGTGAAATTGATCGTTTCGGATACCGAGACCTGCCGAAAGATTCTTCCTTTGTTTCTGCGTTCGAGTCATTGTACGCGCAACCATTGATAAGATTTTAACCGATTCTTTCTCATAAATATGCTGTAGTTAAACTTTAATTTCCGACGGACAGTGTACGTCCAGCAGTTAAACGTTAAACCTGCAACATCCTCATTGGGAACTGTTGCATTTGCATAATGTACATGTACAGTATCGCAACCGCTTTCCGACACTCGACATCCACCCGTTTATGGTTGTGCGTACCTTCTAGATTTCCATTGTGTCACGACCAAACTTTTCGGCCAACCTAATAAATCGCTACGATCATTGGACTGTAAAACAGCATCGAAAGTAGATTGTTTGTAAGGCTCCGATACTCGTGCTTCGAAGCGACATTTGCTACATAACGATAGTATTATAGGATTAAATCACACTTGAAAAATGTTGATAACAGGTATGTGAGTTTAGAGTCGCGCATCGTAGAGTCGGAGTTAAATAACAATGCTTAATTCCTGGACCAGCGTCTCCTACCGGTTCTCTCCGTCCTCAGCCGTGACCGTTAGAGAGACATTTACTCAAAAGATTCCAGTACCTCAAGATTCGAGCCAAGAAAAACCCGACTCGCCAAATCGAATCGAGTACTCGATCGTTCAAGCGATAGTTCAAGTCAGTGTTACTCAACCTTTGGCGCGCTCTGATGAAAAGGGAGGCGTATCGTAAAAACTACCCGAATGTTATTCGGCGACGACCTTTGATTCGGTCGAGATAGAGCGCGATGTCCTCTGAACTTGAACTTATCGTTAGTTAGAATCCTTTCTCTCGCAATTAACGACGCTTGCGACGCTGACGGTCCCTCGTGCGGAAGTGGCAGGTTCTACGCGTTTGTCGGTTTTATTGGACCTTCCGGTGTGCGTGCCGCGCTCAAGTTACTTACTTGGGCGTTAACTTAACATCAGGGTGACTATCTGGTTAACGCCAGTTCGTTCTGTCGTTTCTCGTAGGCTCTTTCCCACATTTATAAACGACGCCTGATGTTTTCGCGTGTGCAACTCAATTTTTTGTTTTTGTTTTGTTTGCCTGTAGAAGAGCTGCCGTAGGACGTAGCTCTCGATTCCTTCGAGCCCTCGAACGTGCTTATTTCGATAGCCGTGTTAGCAAGCCGAAGGCTCTCGTATCATTCAGTTTACTATTTGTAAACCGTATTCTCCGTTTCAAGTTGAACTAGGTCGTGGAAAAGACGTGTTCATCAGGACCAGGAGAATCGAATCTTGCACGGTCCGTCGAGCAAGAGATTAGGTGAACGTTGACGATCACTGGCTGAGTTTGTCACCGAAACGTGGGAACCAGCCAAGTGTTCAACTCGAAACGATTTAGTAGTCGAGAGAGGCGAGTGCATGCAGCCGCATAGTTTATTTCGAATAACGAATAAAACGTAACGGACACATTTCGAAGATTTATTCGTAAATAAGGATTCGAGTTTTATTCAACGTTGCTGACGTATTCACTTCGAACGAATGACTCATTCGAACTTTATCTTTGTCTATATGGTTTTTAAATGCATTTGTTGCGAGTTTAAAGAACATAACGCAAACGATAAGGGAGCGTATTTAGTGTTCTCTTCCGTCGGTTTATTAGAAACGGTTGGAAAATAATTGCAAGAGAAATGTTACAGAAGAAAATGAAGTTTAATTATTTGGTAAATATTACGCAATCTTAATTACGCATCCGTATTATTAGTTATAGAAACATAAAGTGCAAGTTTCACTCGGATCCTCGAAGGATAACGATACAACAATTATATCAAGGAGGAAGTATTTTCCATTGTGAAATCGATTGTGCGATGACGTTTGCGTGCTTCGAGAGACGCCAACGTTGCGAAACGACATCTCGAAGACGCATAATTTTCATCGATCCACGGTTGCTCCAACACCTGAACTTTTACAGAAAGAAAAAAGTAGCTCGATAAGACCTCTCGACGCAAACGCGACGTTGGCCATTCTTGTGTCGACTTTTAGAAAAAAAGATGATCCAATCTTGAACTGATTGACACACGTTGTATAAATAGAGATTGTCGTCACGCGTTTAACAAAAATACATATAGCAGCTTGGACGTATGGTAATGAGTTGATCTCGAGGAGGCTGTTCAACGAATGCTGCTCTTACGAAAGTTGTCTGTTTACGTTAGGTTATATTATTGTTTCTCAGTCTACATTGAAAATCATTTTTTTTTTTACCATAATGTACCATAGGTTTCTTTGGACAATGGTCACTTTTATCGAGCTAACACATCGTTCCGATCTGTAACATTCTTTGAACTTGATAGGCACACCAAATTTACTAGCTTCGACCGAGTTATTTTTAAATGAATAGCGAAAATTAACTTGTCATCCCTTTACACCCGGTTTTTGGCACCGCTACTCCCATTTCAGTGGACGGCGAGCACGCAAACTAGCGACGCCACAGGTAGACGCGACCACGGCTGGCGTCTCCTTTTGCGTCACCATTTTCTGATATTTTTTCATGGAAATTTTACAAGATATCCTTTAAAGTATATATTTTCACGCGTCGAAATTGAAACTTTCCACGGTACGTAGTTTAGGTATTGAAAGCTCTGGCGCACAGAGGGCGTTGTTTCAACGTGGTTCGTTTCATTGTGACAACTCTCGCTACGCAGTTATATTTCAAAATAGCACGTGTCGCTTCGTTTTAGATGAACCACGTTCAAGGTGCAGATCATGGGATGACGTAGGACCGACTAAAATGGAAACTGTCGGGCAAACGCACAGACAGCACCCTTCCTTGGAGGCGACCAGGTCCAACACCTCGACACAATCGGGCAGAAGCGAAGATTCCTGGTGCTCGGCGTCGGATCATGACCTCTCCTCGGACGACGAGAGCGAGAAGAGTAATATCAGTATTAAGTAAGCATGCACCGTGTTTCGAGTCTAAGACTTAGGTCTAGCTCGGTGTAAGCATTATTGTTAATCCGTTTGCAGAAGTAATTGCCAATTGAGGAACACGTTGCACAAGGCCAGGACGCTCTGCGACAAGTGGAGGTCGCAGAATATGCGAATGAGCAATGCGGACCCATTGGATTCCCCCGGAAATCATGGAAGACTGTCGAGATGGTTCAGCATCCGACGAGGGTCAACGCAACAGTACGACGTGGACTCCTCGGACACGGTGTCTCTCACGAGCCCGATCAAGACGCCTCAGATGCCTCAGCTATGCGAAGTAATTGCGTTAGAGCTTTGAAACTAGTACTTTTCGAACCAAACACAACTATAATACTGAAAATATACCGGTATAATATCGAGCGTTGAACATTTTAGTAAATCCTAAACCTGTTTCAGATCGAAGAGGAGAACAGCGCGATGGTGCAGTTCCAATGTATGCAGCAACGCAGGCAAACCCCACCAGCTCTTCCACCGACACCTCCGAATTTAACCCCTCAGCAGTTGAAACGTCGACACATAGTAGCCGCTATAGTACACTCAGAGAACGGTTACGTGTCGACGTTGCAGAGGCTAGTGAACGTACGTGTACATCGACTTGCAAATGCCGTTCACCAAAGCGTTTCGGGGAATCTCGTGTTTTTCAGTTAAAAATACACCTTCCGTTTCAGGATTACAAGAAACCTTTGGAGGAATCCTCGCCACCTATACTGAGTCAGGCGAAAATAGCGACGTTGTTTCATAGATTGCCAGAGATTTTACAATGCCATACGTTATTCAGAATCGCGCTAGCGGAATGCGTGCGCTCGTGGGACAAAGACGAGAAGCTCGGAGATGTGTTCGTCGCCAGCTTCAGCAAAGCTATCGTTCTCGATATTTACAGCGGGTTTATAAATAATTTTTCGGTTGCCATGGATTTGGCCAAACAGGAGTCAAAGAGAAAGACTGCGCTCGCTGATTTTTTCAAGGTAGACTAATGTTTTCCTTTATTAAAAATTTGCGTATCCAGTTGCGCATAATGTTCCTTGTAAGTATACTTCACGGACAATAGAGTTCTACCCAGCAATTACCGTTATGCTTCAGGTTAAACAAATAAGCGCGCACGACAGATTGTCCTTCTTCGGATTGATGGTAAAACCCGTACAGAGGTTTCCGCAGTTTATCTTATTTTTACAAGTAAGTATAATACCGCCGCTTGTGTATCGATGTTTGCCCTTCGCTGATCGCATCGAATGACGTAAGATTTGTGCCTAGGACTTATTGAAGCATACGCCGCAAGGACATCACGATAGAATGTCGTTACAATTAGCGCTGACCCAATTGGAGAGTTTGGCGGAAATGTTGAACGAGAGGAAACGCGAGGCGGAACAGTTCCAAGCGTTCAAAGAAATGTTACGACACGTGTCCGGGAAATTATCTCATCGTCCACTTTCGTCCTCGTCCAGGTATCTTATTCGGGAAGATAACGTGACACAGTTGGTAAGTGTACATTTTTTTTTTGGAAAGCCTGGAAACAGTGCCCAAGGGTTTTCGCACACTCTTAGTATACGTCATCGTTCATTCTTATAGGAATTTAATCAAAATGGAATGATAACGAAGTCGAAAAGGAGAAGATTACTATTGTTGAACGATCTCGTTGTTTGTGTTTCGGTAACACCAAGATCCGCGGAGGATTTCAACGGTAGCGAGAGACTTACTTTAAAATGGACGTATCCTGTGTCAGACATCGAGGTACAATTATTTCAGATCAGCTAAGAGTATTTGATATCGAGTGCATCGCTTTGTACAATGGAATACGTTATTAGATGCATCGGCATAATGTTTCAGATTCAGGATACGAGTACCTCGCCAACGCTGAGCCGTTTGTTGACTGCTGGTCTGAACAAAGGCGGTAGCTTGAAGTCTGATAAAAGCGGAGAATGTGGACAAGCGGGCGCGGACAATCTCTGCGTAGAAATGAACGATCTTATGCACGATTACGAGGTGATGTCTAGGATAAGCGATTTAGTTGCGCAATTGAAGGGTAAATACGAGGTAAGCGTTCTAGCAATCGAGCGATTACTCGTAATTAGGGTACACTCTGTTAATCTACGTATTTATTTAAAAGGGGATGACGCTCGAGAAGACTAAGCAAATTTTACAATCCATACAACTGTCGATACAACAAAAAGACGAAGACATGGTTTGGGCGGACAGCTGCTGCTTACAATTGGTAACGAAGCAAGGTCAAATGTACACGTTCCAAACCGAGAATCCACTGGTGAAGAAAGACTGGATAACCGAGCTTAGGCTAGCACAACTGGCTTTGGATCCGAATAATTCTCCTTCTTGGGAAGTACCTGAACAGGAACAAAGACCATCCACCAAGATGCCGCTTTTCGTCAGTTCGCAACAGGTGTACCATTCGCAACATCAGACAGAAGTAAGATATTCGATGTTATAAAATATCTCATTAGTTAAATAGTAGCGCGAAAGAAACGCTCTTCAGTACGAATCTTCCTCAGGTACGTTGCGGTTGTTACTACACAACGCAAAATCCACGGCCCACCAGACGTCGCGGGAGAAGTCAAAGTTACTTATGGATATGCACAGGAGATGGTATATCCAGCCACGTAACAGTATTCGGTCAGTCGACGGTAGCTTCCGCGACCTCCCTAAAGCAGATCACAGCATTCGATCTGGTAGAAACCAGAGTGGGTGCTATAGAGTTCGTAAAGGGTGCCACCACCGATCCGTTATCGCTGGCGGGTGACGTTGTGTGGATGGGCACGGATTCCCGCAAGATCATCGTCTACGCAGCCTCCGAGCCCGAGAAACAGGAAGAGCTGGGCAACTATTCCGTGTCAGGTCCCGTAATACAAATCAAATATCACTGCGATAACGTCTTCGTCGCCTTGGGCGTTGGTTTGCTCCTCCTCTTCAGAAGGCAATTGGACGGCACTTGGAATCTCAGGGATCCATTCGTGATAACCTTGGGCAGCGAACCGGTATCCTGTCTTATGCCTATCAACGCCTCCGTTTACGCAGCTTGTGGAAAGAAAGTTTGGGTACTTAACGCGGTAACCGGCGACGTGACGAAAAGTTTCAGCGCGCAACACGAGCACGTAGGCAGCGTGAAGCTCATGGCTCATTCGGGAGTCGGTCTCTGGGTCGCGCTGAAGAATTCTAGCACCGTCTGTTTGTACCACACGGAAACGTTCAAGCACCTGCAAGATATCAACATAGCGTCGAACGTACTGAGAGTGACAAGGTCGAGCAACGCTTCCAATTCTTGCGGTGATAACCTGAACAACAATCAAACCACTGTCACGGTGACGGCCCTACTGGCGTGCAAAGGTCTCCTCTGGGTAGGTACCAACGTGGGAATCAGTCTGACGATTCCTCTTCCGCGATTAGAAGGAGTTCCGATCATCAGTGGCCGCGTCAATATCTCCTATCACGCTCACTTCGGTCCCATTACCTTCCTGCTAGCTATTCAAAACCCTAAGAACTCGATGAATTGTCAGACCGACGAGATCAACGACGAAGACAGCGTGCAACTGAGGACGAAGGAAACCGAGAATAGGAGCAGTAGGGATCGGGCGAGTTTAGACTCGTCGATGACGAGCAATATCGTAAAGCTGAAGCAGCAGCTTGCAGGTAGCCCCGTGATGTTGAGACGGAAACGAAGCAAGGAATACGAGTACAGGGGTTCGAAGACTCTTCCACGGGGACTGGGTTCGGGTGGTGGATTCTTATCCAGCTCCATGTCCGGCTCACAAAGCTCGGGAGAGAATTGCGATGTGTACGGGCTGTATGGGGAGCTAATGTACGTGAAGGATTACGAGAACGAGAACAGCTCGGGCATCGATCCCATTTACTACGAATCCCTGAGGAGAAGCGACCCAGAACTGGCAGCCATACCAAATAAAGTTAGTACCTTAGACCGTAGACTGAAGATGAAAATCACCAGACCAAGATCTCTGGATCTGTCGAATTGGTCGGTGGACTCGCATGCCAGTTCGCTGTATACGTCGTCAGGCTCCGAAGAGAATCTGTCGTTGAAGACTGGAAAATTGTCGCGAAACAGTAGCACGGCCAGTCGAAACGGCCCGTACGACACTACCACGCCTAATAGTAGCATAGTGCAGTCGGTGCCCGAAACTATACCACCGTCCAACAGTCTGAAACCTAACGGTAAGAAAATAAACAAGACGCTACAACAGGTGGAACAACCGAAACGAACTGTTCTGACGCTGATGGGTGGACGTGGTTACATTAATTGGAGGCAACTGAACGCGCAGTCCGCCACCGACAAGGCCTCAAAATCGGGCTACACGTTCAAAGATCCAAACAGCAACGACGCCCATATCGTGCTGTGGGAAATGAAGTTATGATACTCAGTCATGCTAGGCCTATCGTTACGCCTACGTTGGTATGGGTAGAAATGTTAATACCTTCGGGCCGGTTACGATAACGTTCTCGTAGTATCGGCGAATAGGACCAAAAAAAAAAAAAGAGAGAAAAAGAAAGAAAAAACTACTGTCGAACTGATATCTCTGTAAGTAATAAGAATAGCAGTGGGATTGATATCGTATCGATGCTGTCGATACGAGATAATAATGAATTTTGTATCAAATCATTTGATACAACGCGTGTTTAGTATTGACTTTTGATACCGATACTTCTATAACGAATCTGCTACAGTCTTAACGTGAGTAATCCATATACACGTGTATATCCACTGGAGAGTGTTTGCATTCGCTACAGTTACGTTCCAAGTGTAATAAATTCATATCGATAGTTCAACATTGGACATGTTTTAGTAACGATTGACAATTATAATTAATATAGTTAATCATTAGCTGACGTGTACGGTTGACAAGTGAATTGTCTCGTCCCTAAATATGGTCGGTCGTTTTCGACGATTGAAGTAATCGTTAGTTGTCGCAAGCCGCGTAAAAACCAAAATATCTTGATATCTTTGGATATCGAATTGCTTAAATATTGTCGTTGCGTCGATGCGTATCAGTCTCATCGCTAAATAAGGATTCGTTAATTAATTAGCACGGTTTTAAGTCAGTCGCAGGTGTCCGTTGGTAAATGTTTTGAGATCAGGTTGAAATGAGGTTCATCTACGCGACAGTCCTTATCATTAGCAATGCAAAGATCTAGCTCTTGCATAGCTCTCTGAAAACAAACGTTTTTGTATTTGATAAACACGCTTCCATCCCGTAGGAAAGATCATATGTTTTGTTGTAGACTGCGTTTACCGTGTACGCTCGTACACGCTTTACCAGTGATTCTTAACCATCATAGAGAGATTCACCAAGAAATCTGATGAATTTCCATTTCTTATACTTTTTAAATTATTACAATTTCGTATGATTAAAAACAGTACCATGGGCTCCGAAAAATTAAGTCTACTTTCAAAGCAGCGATGATTTACCATTGCTGTTTTAAATTTACCACAAGTTTAATAGTGGTTAAGAAGAACTGTGTTGTGCAATCGTGATTCGGACACGGTTCTTTCTGTGCAAGTTTAGTATAGAAAAATTAGAGTTGATCGCCTGGGTATCTAGAATCACATATGATTAGAAAAGTAACACACAGAGTTAGTAAGTGTTTTGATTTGATGAAAAATTGATGTGCAAGTATACGCGTTGTTGAAGGTAACGTTAACATTCGAACGTGTATTTTAATAAATATTGTTATTATTGAGGTTACACGCTAAAATAATTTAAATCAGTTATATTTAATAGTTCAATTATGGAACGGAATGTATGAAATTCAAGATGATATTCAGAGCGAAACAACAAGGAATGGAAATGCAGTGAATACCGCTGATTCAAATTCCAAGTTTAGTTACGTGGTTTTATGTGAGTCTACTTCGTCTTCAAAATTTGACGAAAATGTACTGAAATCAGAAACTTCGGACCACAAGAGGTTAAAGACTCCCCTTTACATGGGGAAACAAACACAACGCACAGAGCAGCGCCCGTGTGATTTATATTCATTCGTATACGTAGGTCATGACTTAGGCATATACAAAGAATCTCTGACAATATATCAAACATTACTTTTTTAAATTTTTTCTTGCTTCGATATAAATGAGAAAAGAATTAAAAAATAAAAAAAAAATAATAATAACGCTTTTCAAGCGCTTATTGAGAGAGTAAATTCACACTGGACACGTTTGGTTTTTGTCATAGACAAAATGAGGGAAAAAGTTCAAATACAATTATTGAAGTTTAGTTTCGATATGTTCTTTATAGGAATTACTTTACCGATTGATTGATAAAAGTTCGTCAAGCGTTTAATAGCATTTTTCGAGGGTGCGCAAGATATATTTTATATCTTTTATAAGCGTTAGCACGTTCGACATTTTTGATATATTAAAACGTAGGAAATGATTGAGAAATGAATTAAAAGACACGACTTTTATTGGCAATTCGAACAAATTCGATATATCCCTTCGCTTTTCTAAAGGAATGATACTAAATTTGTTTGAATCACCAGTTGGAATCGTGACGTTTCATTTTTTATGTATATTTTACTACGAAACGCGATAGGGGATCACCGAGAGAAAAAGTAAGTCTTTGTTCTCTATTTTGTGATAGATCGAACGGGAACAGAGATGGGGTTAGTAGGAGGAAAAGAAAGTTTATATCAGTTACCCAGTGAGAGAAGTATATCGGTAGTTTTGTCGCAAATGTGCTGTTAAGTTTTCCGCTGTCGGCATGGACGAAAGAAAGTCTGCGTGTACATAAAAATTTTTTCCGAGGAAATTAATTTTTATATCGAATTGAGAATCCTGGATAGATTTATATTTTGTACACTAACTTTTTTCTTTTCGTTTAGGTTTATATAAATATATACATATGTAATCTTATTTTGTATTTATACGGATGATACACACATGGAACAATTATTCAGCGATAGTTTGTTTACACGTGTGTACGTACAACGTACAGGTCAAGCACGTGCATATATATATTTATGTATGTATACACACACGCGCGAATCCGAAAATTTTGTTACGTTAGCGGTCAGAAAGGCTCTTCAGTACGACAATTTTTCACTATTTGTATGGCTACGTTGCTGAATATTAATAATTATTTAAAAGCGAATATGAGATTGTTTAACTCCTCTACCTTTTTTCGCATATACCGAAGGACTGGTGTTCCTTCGCTTAGGTTACTTTGATAGCAATTGTAATTCCTGAATCCTGTTGAGACTGTCTACAAAATTATTTTTCAAATTCTTTACGCTTCTTAAGCGCTCATATAAAGAATTACATTTATTGAATTATACAGTGCAAATGATGTGATAAAGTAAATAATCGTGAAAATCCAAATAGGGTATTTATAGAAGTTTCGTGTTGCCAAACATGCTACACAACACGTTAGTTTTTCGATATATATTTATTCTTTGTACAATATTACGATATGTTTACATTGTAATATGGCGCATAAATAATTTTCGTTCACATAATTCTATCGATATAGCTTTGTAACATTTCTGACAAGGAAAACAAATTTACAATTTCTTTGCTCTATATCTTTCATGACACCTACTACGATATGCATGGATAAGTACAATATGTGTACTATACAATATGAAATGTTGATAAGTATCGAGTAAAACCATGTTGTTCTACTTTGTTTGGGATACTATATGTGAATCTATTACATACAATGAACTCTCTCTATACTGCGAATATTTTCATTGTAAATAATCGTAGAAACTTTCCTTTTACCTATTCAAGATGGTAATGTCTTATTATAATGTACAAATTAGGAAATAGCTATCATAAAGACAGCTCTCTAAACAAACGTGTTTCTCCATCGTGTTCTCCGAGATCTCTAATTTCAATGTTACATTGACCAATGCCCATTTCGTAAAAAAAAAAAAGCATGGAAGTAATTTAAACAAAATATACTCGCAACATTACACGTAAAAAGTTACTCGTGTTTATCAAATTCTTCTAATACAATCCATGATGATTAAACGAGCAGTATGCTTCATCAGTTGTCCAAACGAATATCATTTTTGTTTTCCTCGGTAAATAAAATATACCGCTAAATATATTTTCTTCTTAACGCACACGACAGAGAAGTCATATTTTTGTTTAAGACTGCATAGATGTAACAAATAACTGTAACATTTTTTACTCTGGCATGGTGCTCTATTAATTCTACGTTATATTTAAACTCGCTTAATTACACAATCACCTTATCAGTTTGCTTGCGGAACGTACGTATATATTCGGTGATGATAGAGTAGAAAATGATGAATCGTTATCTACATTGCAATTCTAATGCAGAGATACGAGCTTATAACGAGTAGTACTTAATAGATCAACACAGTGGTTGTAAGTTGGAAATTTCTTCATCCACAAAAATGAAGAATTAAAACGCGGATTTTGTTGCGTCAGCAGTTTATAATTTCAAGAATCATAGGCTTGTTGCTTATGTCCTGAAATTTTCATCGACTTGTTTTCAACAAGAATCGCTGAACGTTTTAACCACTTATTAATTTCATTGCCTTTTCTTTGAAAGAACAGCAAAGTGGACGTACACGAGTAGAATGCGACTCGTATCGTGCTCAACTTGCAACAAAGATTAGCATAATTTTACTCGGTGAAACAACGATCATTCTCAGACAAATTCTATTCGCTGTCAAATATAATTTCATTTCAATAATTCAAATCCTAATTTCTATTCAACGAGAAGGCAAGTAGTATTCTGCCCATCTCCGATTTGCAATCATTCGAATCCTTCTTTTGTCGATGCATACGCTTGACTGTATTATAAACTTCTTAATTAACGTTAACGTTTGTTTCATCTTTTTAAACATATTCTTTCAACATTCGGTTACATTTGGTCTTACGCAATACTCTATTTCAATAATAGCACATATCAAAATCGAAAGGCGCAAATCGACAGTGTCCGGCAAAAAAGTAAATGCACTGTAAATTCTTAATTTTAAAGTTCTCTCTCCTCCCCCACTTTGGAAAGCATGATTGATTTGCCGCGTTACGCGAAGTGCATGTATGGAGTTTTGTTACCTTCAGACACTCTCTTTCGGAGTGTCGCGACAATTGCATGTGTTAGTCATTCTATTACATGTATTTATAAAATACCTATATATACATATACGTACACGTATGTAATGCAGATAACATAATAGATAAATACCTGCCCGAGCTGCCTCTATTCCCATCGCACACTTAAATATTTGGTGCTGTGTTTTAAACTTAAAGTGTACTCGACTTATAGGGAAGTTAAGAAACTTCACCCTATAGAAAATGGGTAAAAATGATAAACGTTCGTTCGATTCAAATGAACACGAAGAAAAAGAAACGGTTACCGAACAAGAGTTACTATGAAATATATAATACTGCTAGAATTTGTATCTTTGTCCAGCTACATTCGATGGAATCTTCAATATCATTCTTAATTAATCGTAATATTGAAAATATCATCGGCAACATCATAACGCGTACATATGTCAGCTCTCACATTGCATACATGTCTTTGTTAAATGGCAATAATTTCGTAGGATTACTGTCGATATAATCACACATACTAATTCTTTTCTTTCTGTGGAAAAAAAAAAAGGAACAAAACAAAAGCGAGAAATACTTGAAAACATTAGACAACTTGAAATCGCGAAACTTCATACCAACTTTGCGTATACTTTAATTTGTACAATTGCTTTTGAACTATTCACTTACGCGTCAGCGAAGAAGACAAAAAATGTTAAGAGTTTCAGTCGTTTGGAACTGCCTTGGGGGGAAAAAGAAAGAGTTGCTGCTATTACTAATGTAATGCGTGAAATAAATATCTCGTGTAAATGAACACTTAAACATCTTAATCCTTTACACTATGAGATGTACAGGAGAGACAACAAAAGTTGATCTCCTCTAAAACTAAATGAAATCATGTTTCATTGGTTTTGGAAGAATTACAGAAGAAACATTTTTGTTCTCATTCACTTTCTTTCGTGCACCTTTTGCAATTAAAATATTCGTAATCGGGAAACAATCGCAATAAAAATTTATCGGAGGTAGCATTTACATAATTTTTAATGCGCTAAAAATGCATTTGTATTTCCATAAGGAATAAAGGAAGACTTTTGGATAAATACGAATACGAAAATAATAAATTTGATTCAATATACAAATTAACGATCAGGTCGTTCGTTTACAATGCACGTGCACAAACTGGTATTGTTTCGTATAATTTTATGGTTTTTCGAGAATAATGATTTTATCTCTAAAAATCTGTTAGTCGATTAATATTATTGTTATTCGCAACAATCGACGCGGCGTGTGCCCAAGCATGCAATTTTTAAAAATATTTATATTTTTCGCACTCGAGATTACTTTTACTCAAATTTTTTTTTGTAGTTTCTCATTCATTATAGTTATGTGCGTGTATGCAATCACATGTTATGTTACTTACAACAATTTTAGGCCAAGATTTATTGCAGGATACGTGGAAGTATAAGTTGTAAACATTATTTTCTCATAATATTATACCAAAAATACTGGTGAATGCTACAATAATATAAATCATTTGATTAAAGCAAGTATCACTTTCAGTAATAGTAATAAAAAAAAAAATAAAAAAAAAAACACTAAATGAAAGCGAACAATAAATTACTAACATCTAATATATATATACATATATATGTAGAGAGAGATGTGTGTGTGTGTGTGTGTGTGTGTGTATGTACATACTACATATAGAAAATATACTAAAATGTAATAAATAATAACTAATTGAAAGTTGCACGTCGTATGCAAAAACAAGGATAAGAATCAATTATTTATTTGATCTTGACTAACGAGAGGCAGTGTTCTTGTCTTACTAATCATATTAATTCATCGAATTTCTCAGCTATTCACAGTTGAAATATTTGTTCCAGTTTCGAAAATGAAAAAGCATGGAATAGTGTTAAGTACTCAAGTATTATGTGCTGTGTAAGAAAACCAAAACTCATATTTAAAGCTAACTAAACACAATAATAAATTGTTAATTTAGGCATAGCGAAAGTTACCGTGAAGTCATAAACATTAGCAAATCGAAAAGTTTCTTGCCATTATGTCCCGAGTCACACGGTAATGGTAAATGCGACAGTTGTGTCAATTGATTTTTCGTTTTTACAGATAAGTAACGCAGCATCGTTGTTACCATTGTAATGGTATCAAAAGTTGATTAGTAAATTTAAAAAATAATGTAAATATACTATATAAAAAATATTTGTTGTATAATACACGTAAAACATAATACTATAGTAAACTTAAAATAGCAATGGTCCCGAAATTGTTGATATGAGAAAATTGGAAATTGGTAACCAATGAGCGAACTCAATCGAATCTCAGTCAAGTTGCAAACCCTTTTTCGTCAAATGTCCAACGACGGATTGTTTAGATGTTTGTACATCCCCTATATCGAAGTAATAGTTATAGAAGTCCGATACATGCTGGTGTAACAAGTAGACTACATATAAAAAACCATTCACTCTTATACGTGTGTACGTCTTTTTTTCCATGAATGTATCAAAACGTGAGGACAGAAAAAGAAGAAATTAATCACCTAGAGAACAACGTCGGGCAGGGAGCAATGCCACTAGGCTAATTGCGTTCCACTTCGTCCACCATGATGTCCCATGCCGATCATAGAACCTCCGCTACCGATATCGTCGCGTACGATCTTTCTTTCTTTGTAATAAATTTCCTCGCTCTCTTTGTCGCATAACAACAACACAGCTCCACCAAACAAGAAAATAGCTGCACCCCATCCAACTCCGTATGCCCAACCGAATTCCCATGTTGCTCGATTTCCTGTAAAATATATTACATTTAAACTTTCGTACATATATTCATTTATTCACGCCAGTATTTATCGTAGAGTTGCGACTTACCAAGATTGAGTTCCGTGGCAAAACACACTGGATATATCACTAAAGCTATTAGAAGCGATACCACTGAAATACGATAAAATAAATGCATAGCGTAAACAAGAAATGTCAGTCGATATTAATATGTATACATTGTCTGAAATCGTCATACTTACATGCGAATCCCATACAGAAGACAGCAAATCTATAATACTTGTGCTTGTCACGATTATCTTGTGACCTCAAACCAAGCCCTGTGAGAATTGTTGCAGCGATGTCTGTTAATAAACAAACTACGCACAGAGCGGCAGCTGCTTTTATGTAAGCTGTAAAAGCAAATAAAATAAATGTTAACAACTTTCTTGCATTTGGATACGAGAACTTTATTAGATATAAATATTTGTCGTACCAACGTCTCTGGCTTGATAACATCCTGCTGGATCTGGTATGTTAAATGGCAGTGGTGTGGGCGCGCTCTCTTCGATGCAATGCGCGAACAGACCTTGTCTCCATCCCAATGCCATTAACCAATCGGTAGATGCCAAGCCCATTATCATTAACAGTATCACTATTACCCCGCATATAAATGCAATCACCTGTAATCGATAGAAAAATAATATTTATACAATGAAAACAATCAACAAAGACTGTACTATAGCCATAAAAATTGGTCGGAAGCAAGAGTAATTTCCAAAGGAATTTGAGTGTACCTGTGCAATTTCGGTATCACCCATGTGATCCTCTGCAACTGTGTACATGATCATTGTAGATCTACAATTATACTTTCAGGACAGCCCAAACTGAACAGAATCAGGGAACTCTGCTTTTAATTAACCCTTTGCACTCGAAAGGCAACTCTCGGTTGCTACTAGGTTTTACACAGTAACTTGAGCAGCAACCAAGAAATGACAATCTTTGTTTTAATGTCAGATTCGATGTCTTAGACCCGAGATTAAATTCTTAAATACAGATTCTTTCAAAAAGAGTGAAATGATAGAAATAAGTGTTTTATGATCTTTATTGCTTGAAATGCCTTATAATTCTATAAAAATGAATATCTATAACAGAAACAATTTGATCCAAGAACAATTTGATTTTATACTGTCGCAAAACAAGGTTACTTGTAAAAAGAAAAAAATGCAAAACAGTGTATTAAAAATTTTTGTTTTTTTTTCTGATATAGAGGGTACGGAAAATATTAAAATATAATAATTGTCGACATTAATTCGCAAATAGAGTAGCTTTCTATTAACCGTAGGAAGTTCGTCGGATACTTGCAAAATCGTCTAAACATGTTAGTTCGCCGTACCAAAAATGTCGTTGAGCGCAAAGGGTTAAAATCGTTTCGAGCTTTTTTCACACTCTCTTCGGCCGCCTCGAGCACCATTTACGGGACATCGTACACTGTTCCGCGGAACACCCTCGGTAGACAACAGGGAAGCATTTAAAGAATGGTTCAGAGGACGCGAAACTTTCACGAGCGAGTGACACCTCCAAAGTAAACACAGATCAATCGCATTTTCGTCAAATTCGTTGAACAAACTTTTTCATTACATCGTGCCTCGAGTAGTGACACACGCGTTACATAGTTGCTAGCGACTTTTTGTTTAGCATTCGACGAAACTGTTCAAAGATTGTTCGTTTAGCGAGGTCAACCAGGGACAGAGTCTGTCCGAGGTTGAGGGAGTAATTGGGTTCCAGGGAGGCTGCGCCCATTAAAGGTCGTGGCGCAGTGCGCGTACGCGGTAGAGGGTGCAGATGAAACCTGAGACGTGCGCGTACTGTTTATAAAAGTATTTTTTAATATCATCGTGACCGAAGTTTAGCTTGTGCCCAATTACAATATCGATATTTTAACTTTTATTCGTTTTAACGGTTTAACCTTTGGGAGTCCAAGTTTTCAAAGTATCAACAGACTGAAAAGATTGGCTTTTTCTTGCAAACAGAAATGACGTCGGTTGTAATGTTACGTCAATGTATTTATTTGTCGAGTTCTAATCACCTAATTTGGATCACGATTTGCACAAAAAAATACTGTGTAAAATTTAAAAGCATTTCGTTTTATTGCTTGCAATACTTTTTAAAGCGAAAATCACGTCACTTTTCATCTTGTTACTTGTAAGGTACACAAAACATGGAATTTTACTTATGCATTTGGATCTAATGCTTTTGTGATCAGAAATGATTATAGGCATAAATCGATAATCAAAAGTTGAAGCTCACCTTCAGTGGCCTGGTAATAGTGATTGTTTCAATGGTGGTTGTTTGTTGCATTCTTGCTTAACTGTAATAAAAACAGAACAAATTCATAACATAAAAATAAAGAAAAAATGAAGGTATTAATAGAAAATAAATATACGGCTAATGTAACCAAACAAAAGAAAAGATTATTTGCAAAGGATAAAAATATACGAGAAACATATTGATAATGAGTGCTGCAATAAAAGGTCATCGAGGTGACTCATAAATCCTGCTAATTATGTTTATTCTATATACGTCACACGAGTCATAGAAATTTCATCTTTTTTTGTTGCATGATATTACACTGTAATTGAAATTAATATTGAAGAATCGATAAATATCGTTTATCAATCACACAAAGTATATAAAATAGTTGTTACATTGATTTTTTATGGCTGATAAGTGTTCTACTACAGAACTATACACCTTTTTTTCTATTATTCCTAACTGTTGTAACACACAATGAAGACTTAGCAATTATCAAGTAAACAATAATACATACGTACGTTACAAATTACAAACTTAATTGGGAAACACCTGGGTTAAATTACGAAAATTTTATTCCATGTGCTGACAAACAAGAGGATTAGTCACGCCCAATACAGCTTATCTCAAACTATACAAAGTGTATTCTAGTTTTTCTCCAACGAGAATAGAATGTCGAATGTGGAAAATACCAGTTTTCATCTTAGCAATTACTTTGAACGAAACAGTACACTTACAACAATAGATATATTCACTTTAGAACGCTATCAATCCGCAAACGCATCAAGCATTAAATTGGAAGAACGCTACTCGAGAATTTTGACAGATAGAAAATAGACCACGCGTGAACCCTATACGAGTTCAGAGTATATAAACACTAACAAGATTCAATATCGAGGGTTATGTCACTGGAAATGTCAACAACAGGTTTCAATAATATGTTCCCTATATGTTGCGTATGCTTGGCACGCATACAACGAGAAAATGCAAATTGCCTCGATGAATAATGGCTCGTAAAGCTTGTATAGGACAAACGTTCCTATTGGCTCCCGATACGACGAGATTTCTAACCTTGACACTGATTGGCATAGCACGCGTTTACTAGACTGACGAATAGAACTCTACGCTCGGCGTACACTTGACTATGTGTGACCAATAGAAACGAATAGAAATAGTTATCTTAGCATTGCCCATCAATTTGCCCTCTTTCTAGGTAAGCTAGGTGTGGCTACGGGTGGCTAAGGGCGCGTTCCAATATTGCTATAGTTCAGTGGCGCCATCGGTGGGAAAATGGCCAAGTTTGTAGCCAAACTAGTTTGCACTGTTCCCACTAGATGGCGACTGCGACAGAAACGGGCGCCATCTAAGGTAAAAAGTGAGAACTACTTCTCGACAAACTTGGGTGTTTTCCCACTAGATGGCGACTGCAACATTCAATTCGTTTACTGCTAGATGGCAGTAGCTTACTATTTCACTGTAATAGTTGATTTTGGTAATCTCTGGTTGTTGCAAAAATATATCACCTTTAAACATCGAATCTACTATAAATAAAATTTGGCATTATGTTCTTAACGAATATATTACTTAAAAAAGCTAAGAGCAAGTGAGTATATCTAATTTTACGTATAATTTAGTTTTACACGCGAGTACAGGTTAGCTCGTATCGAGTAAAATGTTCAACACTCCTTCGTTACTCGATTAATTACATCGCGTACCGTATGTCCATAAATAAAATGTTAAATTTAAAAAATTATTATACGAATTGATGTCACCGGTACACCAGCAATTATTTCAAATGTAAGCCTAACTATTGAATATTGTGTTTTGTGTTTATAGAAGCCTTTTAGTGCTGATAGAAAGCGTAGCAAGTGGACACAAGTATGTAGTACCTAGGGAACGAATACTTGATAAATTGGAAATAGTTAAATTCGATCCCTATGGTAAGTTGCAATGATGTATACGCCATGTACAAGAGTTTTATCCATTTATTTTCATAAAGTAAAACAAATACATCGTAGAACATAGATCTAGTACAATTGCTAAAGCTGAAAGCTATGTACATAAGTCGTCCTCATGGACCATCGTAAAATTCAGACACTTGTAAAGTGCATTTGCATAGAAACTCATTTATCCGATACATTTCATATTTTCAGTTCAAGATCGAGTGCTGTACCGGGAAATCAAGAAAATTCACAGTATCTACTAGACAACAATAATTTGCAATCTCTGAATACCAGTCCATCGAGTGTACATATTTCATACAATAAAGATTTTATAAATAATAAGTAAAACAATAATACTAATTGCAAGTAGAAAATGTTTAGGGGGTATTTAGATTGGAGGAATGGAAAATCGACGATCGTGCGAGAAACAATGGAAATCTCATAGTAAATGGTTTTGAATACAGCGATATGATCGTCTTGCACGGGTGGTGGGTCTAGTTGTATGTATCGAAAGGAACGAGAGGGTCCGAGAAAGAGAAACGGAGGACTTGGAAATCGAGATTGGGGTAGGTTCCCTTTGATCTTTAACAAGGAACGCAAAGTTGTATTATTTCCACCTGGATTTCAAACGGTTTGAAATCCACGAGGCGTGAAACGCGACTCTATTCTCCTTCTCTTACCCTCTTTCGCCAACCCCTTCCACGCGCGGTTCTCTCTCGGCCTGCTCTTTCTCGCTCTTCACTCGTTTTCGGCGGTGCGGGAGCAACTCGGGCGTCGTTTACCGATGTTACCAATTCAATTTCTTCTGCAGGATCATTGTCGTGGACAGAAAGGGAGTTAACAGACGCGGAAAGAGGGTTCCCCTCTCCGAATCGTTTCTATCTTTCGCGATTGTGCGCGTGACAGTTCTCGACGTCTACACTTCTCGCGTTTCTTCGTTCTTCCTCTCGAGGAAAAATTTGTTTTGCCTTCACGGCGCGACAAATGGTCCGTTTTGCTTACCCGAGTCGAGCGTATTCTCCTCGACGCGACAAACAAAATTGGGTTACCTAACTCGTCGAGTGAGCAAAATTAATCGTACGACGGGTCGAGAATGTAAAATTGCGAAACAAACGGACCCTAGACGGAGAAGGTTTATTATCGTCGGTACAACGAATTTCGAAGCAACGCGCAACAGCGAAATTGTTAAAACGTCCGTTGTTTATTTACGGTTGACTCGACGAAGCAGCCGGTAAAGGAGGAAACAGTACGCAACGAATGAGAAAGGCGGAACGATATGGTGTATCGTGAAAAAGAGGGAGGAAGAACGAGCGAAGTAAAACAGAAACTAAAGGAAAGAGCGAGGGAGAGAGAAAGGCGCAGGCGAAGGCTCGTCTCACTCGTCTGGGCCTTGGCGCGTTTCAGTTGCCTCGCGTTCGAGGGCGTTTTTCGCCTGTGAGTTGTTCTTTGCTTATTACAGTGTGTGCACTGGGCTTGAGCTCGACTAAAGTGGTTTTGCTGCTAATTAACTGCGTTATTTTTACAACTCTCTTGCTCTCCCATCCACCTCCCGCGTTTCCTCTCGGCCTCCCACGTCCCTTTCCCTCTTTCCATACCCCCGCGGCTGTTCCCTCACATTTGCAATGGGGTTCGATAATTCTGCGGTCGCAACGCCCTCTCACTTCCTCTTTCTCTGCTCCGCGTTCGTTGTATACACGCGTTTTATGCGTGCCTTCCGCAAACTCGTATTTTTACCGCATACATCGGAAACCAGTAATAGGATCTAGTTCGATACCGAGGTAGCGTACATCGAACGCACAACAAGCACGGCTAGGCTGTGCTATCCACCTCTTTGCGACAAACAACAATTTCACGTTTCAACTCTTTTTGTTCTTTTTTTCGAACAATCGAGGGAAAACAAACAAACAAGGTAACGTAGGAAAACGGTACATCTTTGAATTAGATTATTTAAAAAAAATTACTTGAACACACCTGTATTATTCGTGAAAAGATTGTTCGTAACCATGTATTAGCGCGAACAGTAAAACGTTTTTAATGTTTACGTTCTCCGGGCAGGTTTGCGGAGTTGCACGAGCGTAAACATAAAATAGAAATAAACCGTGCACGAGGATATTTCGAAAAAATGCTTCTTCTCTGGGGCTCTTTTTTTTTTGCTTGAACTTGCTGCCTTTATACTTGCACGTGGGGTTAATTTTACGAGCATATATTCTCTGTGTATTTTTTGAGAGCGCGTTTGTAGAAAATTTAACGAGGCGAATATCGGTAGGTTTTTAAGCATGCCGTTTGAAATGGTTTTCAAACGCAAAGTTACTCGACCGTTATTTCATCATGTTATCGAAAAGCGAGTATCGTTAACTATTTAAACGAGATCAAAGGGAGAGCGATGCTCTGCGATATTCCTAAAATAGGCGACTCGACATACGAATGCCACCTTTTAACATTGCCGTGTTTCTCCGCGAGAATCAAAATCCATCGCGCCAGTGAAACGGCGCAAAGTGCTTCGACGAAACAACAATGATTTTCACGTCGAAATTCTACCCTCGAAACTATGAATTTACCAACGTCGTTGAAATAAAAACTCAGCCAAAATCGTTCCATTGAATCGCGAGCAAAAAAGAAATAAACAATACGCACCACTTGAACCAAAATAAAAGTTCTTTCATCGAGCAAATCATAAACATACGGTAGGTAATCTGTTTTATCATCGACACAATGAAAGTAGGTAAAACAGGCGGCACGCGAGACTCGAGATCGCATCGATCATAGATCGCGCGACGTGTCCGTATTAGCAGCCCATTTTATCGATAATCTTGGTTGGAAACTTGGATAATCGTCGAGCGACTATCAAAAGAACCTGAATAGGTATCGTTACATTTAATTATACGTCTAAATGCTACCGATCGAAAAACTCGATATATAGATTAAAATATACTTGAGACATACACGCTATTACCTAGTGGAAAAGACATTTGTTACATGTTCAGACGTAAACATAGAAATTCTTTGAACGCTTTTACATGAAATCACGCTTAATGGAAGACTTTATGCATGTACGTATAGAAATAACGTTAATAGCTTACCATCAGGTTTTCGAAATGGTTATTGGTTGCGGCTGTTAGGGAGGTGGTGATGATGCCGAAGGTCGTTGAATAGGTATCTCTCTGCCGGTAGTCGTAGCACCCTTCTTTTCTCCGGCACGAAAAGGCTCTTGAAATAAATTGAAAATGGCTGGTATCGCCCTGCTCTTGGATAAGTGATACCTACATCACCTACACGCATACCGGCCGCCACAGAATTCCGTGGTATTTTTTCACGTATTTGAAACGCGCATTCAAAGCGTTCCCTCTCCCGAATCTGTATGAATGGCCGATCAATTAAAACGATGTTAAAACGTTATATCAATCGCGTGTACCACCGTCGAGAGAACCGACCGTCGAAGGAGGGAAATTAAAACTGGAATAAAAAGGGGGTGCGCTGGGTTCTCGAGGATAATCGAAACCGCGACGGAGAATTAACGAATATCCAGATCCATCGAGCACGGTTGACGATCGAAAGGTACACAGGAGGGTGGACCTTGGTTATACTTGGTCAAAACATTTTGTTCGCGCCACAGAGCTCTAGGCTCTCATCCCCTAAAAGTATTTAGTCCGATCGATTTCAAATTTTACGCGTTCATTTGTTTCTTGGTTTCGGTTATTTTAGAAATTTCGATCAAGTTTTCGGCGCGAAACTGTCGTTCAACCTAACCTACATTCGCAAGATATTCTTTTCAACGTTCGACACGACGAATTGGGAATTGGAATATCATCGATGCTTCTATTACGACAGATGGTCGGACTCATTATTCGGTGAAATCGAGCTCGTCGAAAATTTATGCACACCCTCGCGTACCGCGTGCGGTAAATTCATTTCCAAAATTCACCGTTTGCCCGTCTGGGCTAATTTTCGCTATGCACGCGTGTACAGTGTACACGGATGCATACGCCGAGCATCGGGGCACACTCGCGCTCCTACTACCACTAGGAGGCGTGCGAATGTCGCGCGCGCGCGCGCGCGCTCCTGGGATTCACCCACTGATACGAGCTGGGAAACATGTGCGCGAGGGACACACCAACCAACGGGAAAGGTGTATTGAATCGACGAGTATCATGCAGTTGACAGCTAGAGCTAATTGAATCTTGACTCTATCTATCTGTCGACTCGAGCTGAGACTCGACTACCGCCGCGAATTGCATTTCCGTTCGACAGAATCGTTCCCGTTTGAGAATTCTGTCTTCCCCCTTAATCCTCTTCGTTCTTGTTATGTAGAAATATGCAAAAACTACTGGCTGCCCGCCTCCGTTGGCTCGGATACTGTTGGAAGAGTAGCTGGTTCGTACTAAATCTTCATTTTTCGCCTATGCTTGCGTCTACTTAACGTTTAACTGTTAGTTTGGCAATTCGAATATCGCTAGGTCGTATTTGACCCGAGGAAAGGATCCTTCTTCGGTTTAAAAAATGCTCCGGCAGTAATATCTAGGTGTGGGATTCGCTAAATGAAATGTGATTATGCGCCATGGATGAATCGACGACGGTACAGCACTGATATTACTTGGATGCTTTCCTTAACAAAAGAGGAAAAGGAGAAAGTAATTTTAGTCAAAGACGTCGTTCGATGAAGCACGCTTCGAGTAGGTACAAAAGGTTGAATATCTTTCGTCGAGGGAGAGGAAAGTATAGAAGTATAGAAGGGTGTGCAGAGAGTGTGAAACAGGGAGGATGGTTTTTGATTCGAAAAACGTCTTGCTTCGATTAGTATTCCCGTCTTTGTTGGTTCGTTAACTTATTCTTTTCTCTCTCTCTCTCTCTCTCTCTATTGTTTCGAATTCGCTTCGTCAGGGATGGATACGATACAAACTGTAAAGAATCGACGGAGAAGGATAGTGTACGTGGGGAATGTCTTTTATTATCTGGAACGGAAATTTCTTTTCAACGTAAATTGTATGGAAGATCTCCGGGGTCCGTAGTATTGAACTGCGTGGGCGGATCAATGGGTGCTCTCGATGAAATTTTAATTAGAAAAGAGCAGGATATAACGGACGAAAGGTGCAACAGAACACGCGTAGATCTAAGGTTTGCCATGGTCTGGAAGAAATGGTACGTAGGCCGTGTTGTCACGTTGTACGCGTAACAACTCGTTTCCATCCAGTGTCGCGATATCAACGCAACGACAAAAACTATGCGCAAGATCCAACTTGTAATGTTGTCTGTTAAACGGCGCGGCGAGGAGAGCGAGGGAGAGAGGAGGATAAACGCGGAGTGTGGGTGCCCCGTCTAGGATTCTATAATCTAGCCCATCT